ATCAGCTGTTATATGTCATAGTTATCACCGCAAAATTGTGCTATTCACCTAACTCGGGAGTAGTTTTATATTTCTGGTTATTATTTGACATGTGACAAGTTAGAATTTTGCCGGGTATTGAATATTTTTATTGTACTTCAGCTTCATTTTTGGGAAACTTGATACAGGCTGATTTCAGTTTTAGCATAAGAGATCACCTTATTATTTATAATCATTACTGTTGTTGTGGATACTTTAAATCTAGTTCCTACGCTTAACAAAGTATCCTGTATAGCCATATACCACAAGAATATTAAAATATGGCCGTATAAACTCACTGGATGATGTCCACCTGTATACGGTTTTGTTAATATCTTTTTTTCATCGCTTTTTCATCATTTCTGCTAAATCAATAAATATTTTCTTTGACATGCGGAGAAGTTTAGAGAATTGAAAGTTATCATAGCTACAAAGCCATGGTTCCATCAATAAAAAAAAATTCTGAAAAAAAAACATTCCTCCCATTAATATTATGAAAGTTTTCTCTTTTTCAACTTTCCATACCCCGTTGTAGACGAAAAAGTACCGATTATTAAGTGATAATAAAAATAATCAGAAATTATATACGCGCTTTTCTAAAACAAACAACTTGCAACAAACCGCGGTTAAAACCAACGCGTTCAAGCGATTCCAGTAATTGACGTCATCATCCCGTGTGTCATCTTGAACCATATTATAACCGCGGTACATAATACGGAAATTTTGGTTATCCGCTTGGATTTGATTAATGATATGTTTAGGTCGTTTCATGCCGTAGTGATTTGGATACAAAAGACGGCTGCACTTGTTTTTTATTTGGCAAGTATGTATTACGATTTCATGACAAAACTTGGAATTATTCAATTTTTAGTAGAAACAACCTACAAATAATAATAATAAAATGTCTTTATTGGGCGATAGCATTAGCTATTCTACCACTTAACCCGTAAAATGTCCATCCAAAAAATATATAACAACCACTAAAATGCAGAGTTTCAACATACAAAAAATAATAAATTAAATGAGTAAAACATAGGTAAATCAAGATTGGATAAAAGTATAACATTATACATACATATTGATGCATATATTATAAGCAGAAGTAAGAGATACATTTATGTAAATGATTGCTCAAAACTTATTTTTCTTAAATAATTTTTAAAATTATTGAAATTTTTAGTATCAGAGGGTAAAGCATTGTACATGATAGTAGCATTATAAGTAAAACATTTACTAAAAAATGAAGTTCTGTGAGGAGCAATTGTAATTGTATCAATAAAGCGAATATCTCGTGAGTGCATAGAACCACAAAATTTTAACTTATCTTTCAAAAATGGGGGAATTGAGGTAAGTAAATGCTTGTGAATATAACATAGTAAATGCAATTTAAATAGATTAGGAATAGATAACCATTCCAATTTCATGAACGAGGAGGTAAGGTGGTCATATTTATTCAAGTTACAGATTAACCTGCAACATGAATTCTTTGTAAGCGCTTGACAGATACTGAATCTAAAAATGGATGATAAACAATGTCGAAGTATGTAATTTTTGAAATAATTAATGACTCACAGAGAATTTTTTTAGTTTTGTAATCCAGAATTTGTTTGTTCAAGTATAATTGCCGAAGTATTAAAAAACAACTTTTTGTAACATTGTTATTTTTTAAAAGAGCAATAAGTAGGCTAGTTTTTGAGATTCAGTCTGTTACATTCTTTTTAACAGTAATTAGTCAAACTTCAGTAAAGGTTTTCACATTGACACAAAATGTAATAATTATTTTTTCACCATACCGTGCTAGTTTTTAATGAAATGAATACTCGGTTGTCTCAAGCAACTATTAATGATTGGTCAGAAAAAAAAACATAAATTAGAAGCTCTTCATAGCCATAACAGGCAAAAAAGGAGCGAAAAGTAGGGATTTCTGAAAAAAGAAACTAGAAAACTTTTACTAAGGTAATATTGATTTTATCAGACTGATCTGAAGTTAATCTACCTCCCGTGTCACTCTGGCGTGTTATTTCTGGGACACTATGTATTATGCAATTTAAAATTATGAGGCAAAGTTTCCAATACCTATTGGGGGATTATATCCGTCATTAGTAAGATTCGATAATTTCGAGTATTTCTGTTAATAACTAAATATTCTCGAAGTTTGAACGTTTTCCACTTATCGGCATGGAAGTAGATATGGCGTGAATAGAAGGTTCACAACCTTATGAAATATGTGCGGTTTAACCAACATGGATCTTATCGTTTAGAAGGGAATAAATAACTGAGGTCGATTCTTTTAAGTATTTCTATTTATTTATCCAATATGTGGCTGACATCAAGAAAGAAAAACTCTATGAAAATATGATTGTTTGAGTAATGCCATAATACAAATTAATTCGATACCATACATACAGAAACTCACTTAAATACCAGGGCACCGCTCCTCTGTCACTATCGTGGAAGAATCTACCTTACCCTGGTATTTTTATACATTTGTCAATGAAAGATATTATCTCTATTACAGTCATCCTCATCCGGCATCTTCCCACCTTCCCTGGTCACCGGGAAAAATCATCCCACCCGTATCAGCCCGTTCTGGGAAAAGTATTGATCGTCCCATCAGCGCTGGTCACTTCACTGATGACGTCACAACGGTCGGTCGCCATCCGCCCAATCAAATGGCCTGTCGCTCTTCTCTGTGAACAGATCGAAATCGCGGCGGCCATGTCTTTGTAGATCCAGCCACGTTCTTTTGGTTTTGCTCAAAAATCGGTTTGCTCAAAAATTGGCTCAAGAAACCGTCGAGTTGCTAAGTACTTTTTGTTGTGATTGACGCTGAAACGATCTCTAGGTTGCGGGACATGTGAATGTAAGTCTTGTACGAATTGAGCTACAACAGTTTTAGGATATAGATACTTTCTATCGAGAATTTTGTAATTTGACCATGCATCTTAATCTATATAAATTTGGTCTGGTGACCACTTTCAATTGCGTCTCACTTGATGTTAATCGTATGAATACATCGATCTTACTATTCCAACTGTTGCATACATTTATCTGCTGCACACGAGCTTACATCTTTCAGGTTCTTTCTACTCAAACCAATCCAATTTCATAAACAATGCGGATCGTTTGTACCTAAACCCACGCATTAAGTTTCTTTTCTTAGAAAGATGTAAGTACTGATTTTTTGAGTAAAAAGCTGTCCTTTCACTAGGTTGCTCAGATTTGTGGCGTTTACTTTTTGAGGTTGACCGATTCTGCCAAAATGTTATCCTGAAATCCTGTTGATTGTAGCAAATTATTTATCGAATTTTGAAAGTGTAGACTTTCATTCAAAAGCTACAAGCGAGAACTGTACTCGTGAGAATTAAGGAATTCCACAGGTCTTGCAGGTTCTTACTTCCCACACCTACTGGCGAGGTAGTGTTCTAATCGCGAAAATTTTCGAAAATGAGATATTATCTTTTTTGGGCTATATGACATGCGCATCACGAAAACTCATTTCAGTCGGTGTGTGTGTAGGTCTGTTTGTTGGTCGGTCTGTCTGTCAGTCTGTCTTTCGGTCTGTCTGTCAGTCTGTCTGTCGGTATGCCTGTTTGTCTGTCTGTCGGCCTGTCTGTCGGTTTGTCTGTCTGTCTGCCTATCTGTCCTGACGGTCTGTCCGCTAATCTTGTAACCGCCTACAACTTGAGAATTACCGCCCGGATTTTGATGAAATTTTTACACAATATTACTACTATGCTAAGAACGCAAGTTTTTGAAAATCGGTCTTGTAGCTGCAAAGAAAAAGGTCTAAAACGAAAAGAGTAAAAATCTCTCAAACTTCGTTTTTTGACGTTTCACAGGATTCTGATCATATTTGAAAACAAATTTGAAGGTAAAAAACTTGGTGATGGGGGTTGTAAGGGGTGTGGTAGGTTTATCTCAATTGTTTGATGCTGGTACATTAATATACACCTAACATTGTTAATTCTATGCACTTATTAGACATATTTCACATATCATAGATTTCTCTGTACATTAGCCCTGAAAATATTCTCGGGAGACGGATCGCGTACCTGTCTTCCGCAGCTGCTGCTGGCGTCGTGCGCCGACCGCGATGAGTGTTCTGGTATGGAGTCACACCTAATTTATGTTACTCAACAGCATAGTGTTTTATATGCTCTGACTGCGGTACTGTGGTGCCACGTCTGGACTTGTGAGGTATGGGGGAGAGGCGACGTTTCCAGATGAACTACCGGTAGGGCAGGAAAATAATGTCTAATAGACTAATTTTAAGGACCTGTTTTCCTGAGTTTTTCCTCAGAGGATCTAGTTTGTGCTGAACATATCGCTATGTACTGATAAGGGCGTTGCGTGTGAAGTGCAGAGTCAACCTACTTGAAGCCATTTTTTGTAGACTACGGACTTATTAGAAGCGCTGAAACATTCTCAAGCTATATTTCACATTTTTTGTGTTTTTCACTTGCCGAAATATTTTGGCACATCAAAACATTTTCTTCAGAATTAGTGCTTATGAAACAAGCCGTACTTTTAGGAGGGTACGGTGGAAAGTTCTCGTCTCGACAATGAAGGATTATGTAATAAGTCAGCACTTTAGACCTTATAACCTGGATAGAAATAATTGTTATGCTAATCGTTCGTTGTCCCAGAGAACAAGCTTAGACCATGCTGATGAGTTGACAAAAGAGTACGAAGCAGCTGTCCATGGTTGGTTATTTTTAATCAGACGGAAGAAACCAGCATGTTTAAGTTAGACCTTCTGAGAAAAAGCGAAGAGAAAAAAAATTTAAATGCTGACATTTTGTGAATTCGTCTCATGAAATGAACGTATTTTTGTTTCAGATCATCAAGATGCTGTCCAAGACCAAAACTAAAGATATACTTAGCTCCATCGTAACTATGTGATAAATCTCCGTCCAATCTAAGCTCAATGTCTTGCTCAAAATGCATTTGAAATTATGTAACAAAATGGATGATCTGAAAAACAATGAAGTTGACTTCAGCTTCACCACGATTGATGTCCAAGAAACTGAAATCGCCACAAAGCACCTTGAGACTATCAATGATGGATTGTTTTTTGATTCGGATATTCAGAAAGATACAGAGAGTGGGATAAGTGTGGTAAGTTGTTTTATTAAAACTATGCCCATATACAGGGTGTTTCAGTTTATTGTTGCATAACTTTAAGATTCGATAGAACTTTTAAAATTAATGCATAAAGTCTATATTAACATGGGTCGAAAAATGCGTGGCTTCCGAAATACAGGGTGTTTAAATTTACTTTCTAAAATAGTTTTTTTTAAATAGTTCGAACAATATTTGATGTATAACAGTGAAAATTGGTATACAAGGGTTTTTTGGTACGACACAACAAACCATGGGCATAGTTTTACTGTAGCCGCTAGAGGGCGCTCTCTGCTGTACCTGAGTGTATTAAAATGACCGAAAAAAATTTCTTAGTGCAATTTTTTGCTTTTTGAATAAAAAAACTGATTCTTCGCACTTTTCAACATAAAAAAGCTCTCTTGTGAATTTTCGTTATAGATGGCCGTTTTTGAGATATTTCGATTTTTAAGGTTCGATGCATTTTTAATTATTTATGATAAAATAACTTTAAAAAGTCATCTCGATAATTTTTAGAAGTAGGCTGTGCCTGCAAATATTTTTGAAATTGAAAGCAGAATAAGGTTAAACGTCAATTAGTTGACAGTTAGTTTTGTTGTCTGTTGAAACCTGCAATTGTGAATGCACGAAATTTAGTTTCTTTTACCTGTTTTTTTGCAAGTTTTATAAAAATGCCATTCTTATTCTCCAATCAAGAGTTAGCGGATATTCATTTTGTGTATGACTTTGTAAATGGAAACGTAGCAGAAGCAGCCAGAGAATACGCACGAAGATTTCCAAATAGACGACATCCAACTCTCTCAGTATTTGTAAGAGTGCATCGCCAAATAATTGAAAATGGTTTTGGAAATCTCCAAAGGGATCAAAACATAAATGTTCGTCAGCGGAGATTTACCCGTATGATTCTGCGTGAGTTTGATAGAGATCCGACCACAAGTGTTAGGAGAGTTTCTGGTGGAATAATCACATTTTGTCAGTGGATTCTTGTTAGAACTGATAATAATAGGGAGTTTTTAAGTAACGTTTTATGGACCGATGAGTCATGCTTCACTAGACGTGGAGTGGTAAATTTTCATAATCAACATATTTGGTCGCTTGAAAATCCGCATGCAGTTCGGGAAAGAAATTTTCAGCATGAATTTAGTGTGAACGTGTGGATTGGTATCTACCGTAATCGACTATTTGGACCCTAACTTTTGCCTGCAAGGTTAAATGCTGCGACCTTCTTGGAATTTTTAAAGGCTGAACATGCAAATATGTGGGATGATGTTATGTTAGATTTAAGAAGATTGGCCTGGTTCCATCTTGATGGTTGTCCAGCTCATTATTCGAGTATAGTTTGAAACTGGTTGGACGAAAATTATCCAGAACGATGGATCGGCCGTGGAGGACCAGTCGCCTGGCCTCCAAGATCCCCCGACCTAAATCCATTAGATTTCTTTGTGTGGGGATTTCTAAAAGAAAAAGTGTACCAGACTCCCGTAACCACAAGAGATATGCTAATAGACAGAATCAGGAATAAGGCCTTATTTGAATAATGCTATAACCACGTTCGATCATTCGTAGATGTGAATTGTGTATTGAACAACTGGGTTTACATTTCGAGTAACTACTTTAGATTTTGTATGTTTGTCCTAACTATCCAATAGCATTTTAGTTGTAAATAATTAATTTAATTTGTTAAAAATAATATTGCAAATTAAACAAATTAATATTCTGTTTTTTTGTGTTTATTTGGAGTTAGGAATTATTGATGTGTTTAGAAACACAATCTAAACGATAATCTTAATTACTTGTAATGCCCAAATCAAAAATTTAAAAAAAATATTATTTTCCCTTAAATAATTAAAAATGCATCGAACCTTAAAAATCGAAATATCTCAAAGACGGCTGACTATAACGAAAACTCACAAAAGAGCTTTTTTGTGCAGAAAAGTGCGAAGAATCAGTTTTTTTATTCAAAAAGCAAAAAATTGCACTAAGAAAAAATTTTCGGTCATTTTAATACACTACAGGTTCAGTAGAGAGCGCCCTCTAGCGGCTACAGTAAAACTATGCCCATGGTTCGTTTTGTCGTACCAAAAAACCCTTGTATACCAATTTTCACTGTTATACATCAAATATTGTTCGAAATATTTAAAAAAAACTATTTTAGAAAGTAAATTTAGACACCCTGTATTTCGGAAGCCACGCATTTTTCGACCCATGTTTATATAGACTTTATGCATTAGTTTTAAAAGTTCTATCGAATCTTAAAGTTATGCAACAATAAACTGAAACACCCTGTATAGGATGAAAAGTCGACCAAACAGCATTATTTTATCCATTCACTACTGAATTTTGACATAAACACACAAAAGCGTATGTCCTAAACAACATTATATTTTACATCTAACAAAAAAAAACATTAAAAAACGAATCGATTCTTTTTATTTTATTAAGATTGATATTATATATATATATATATATATATATATATTACTCCAGTATCCTCAGATATAGCAGGTTCCCATGCCCATTCAACATTGCTTTGCTTTTTGTCTATATTTTGATTCATGAAGGCTAATTTACCGGTTTTTTGGTACTCGTAAGCGACTTCGTAAATCAGATTGCACCAAGCCAAAAGATGAAAAAGTTCTTTCAATGCCTGCCGTAGATGCCACTGCAGTGTGCAACTGTTCACATAATTTTAAAAATGCACCCTTGTCTGGGTAATCTGAGTCGGAGTCCAATACATGAACCAATTTCCACCATGTTAATGAAGGAGTAACCCTAAAAAGTACATTGGAAATGGGCTTACTTTTGATGTAAGAGCTATAATCAATGGAGCACGAGAACTATTAATATTGTTTAAGCACTCAAGTGCTTCTCCTTTGACTAGAAGTTAGATATTGCCTCAAAAAGTCGGTGATCCATGATGTTTACCAAATAATGCTTGGGCCCAAGTACCATATTTTTTCTTTTGGACAAGCTTTTTCTAATTGTAATTGGCTGTCCAAATAAATTCATTTCTAACTTATGCCGTATCTCCACACACACACCATACAGATAATGGTAGTATCGTCTCTTTGAGCTGTATCAAGAGCTATGGCTAGTGGATCTAGGGGGCAATTAAATCGCTGGTATTTAATGCAATCTGAGCATCATTCATAATTTTTATTATACCACTCTCAATTACATTCTTATGATCCGACCATAACTGATCTAGCTTGACTGTATAGTCCAGATGGTACTTGTTTGTTCCGGAAATATTTTATAACATTTAAAATGGTTGAAGTTGCTGAAAGAATTTCTAAATCTTAGGGCAATAAATTGAAAATATGAGCTGAACATCCATATTGAAGTATGCCAATTTATTTTTCTAATTCGGAACGCAAGTGCCTTGTTTTTAAGGTAGGTACTCTGCTCTTGTTTCGGTAGTATCTACTATAAATGACTCAAAATTTTGAGTGATAATACTGCAACGTACCAGAGGCTCATTATGAACATTGCTCCTTCCATCCAGTGAATACGAACTAATTGGCCCTCTAACGTACAGGTATTTCTGCACTCCTTTAAAACACCATCATGAACTTCAATGGGTCATTCAATCTGATATGAAGTGCATTCATAAGCTTAGTATGATCAGCATGAAGAAAATGTGTTTTAGTTGCGTAAAAATATCAGCCTATTTAGAGGTTGAGTTCTTTGAAGTGTTAGATACAACAACATCAGTATCTATGGTTGAAACACGTTTTTTGGTTGGCTGAAGAATGAAACTGTCTGGAAAGAATATTATTAGAAAAAGATTTTATTTTTCTCTAAAATATTTTATTCTTTAATACAAATATAATGGTAAATATAACAATCGCCTGATGTATTCACTATTTTTTGTGGTAGAAGTAGAAGTGGAGGGCAAAACATCGGTAAGAATAAAATATCGTGTTGTTTCATCTCTTATTTTTTTATTGGTGTGTTAGTATGTGTTTCTCCATTCGCGACGGTATATTCAAAATATCGGTTTAGGCATATTACTTTTAACTTTTATTAACTCAACAGTCAACACAGTGGGAAAAATGCACAATAAAGCAAATAATAACAATACAAATCAGCGCGCCGGGCATACACCAGATCTGTTACGGGGGATTCCCCGGTCGGCGATGCTCCCTCGGCAGCTGAATGGATGGATGCTATGCAGTGACAGTTAACAGTGGCGTACTGAACAATTTACCGACGTCTCGAATGGAACATTTCTAATTGTAATAAAATGAACAAAATTATTGGATACATCGGAGATGTGATATGTCAAGTTATAATTATCATGATATAGATCTGATATACGAGTATATCATGATATACTATATGTCACTTGATATATAGGATAATCTCAGTTGGCCGTAGACATTTTGTCGTTATTTTTGAATATCTCTCTCTATAATGCCAATATTATATGTTCCTTTAGATTCGTACTTCAGATCAACATAGTGACGACCTTGAGTTTCTACCAGAAGTCCAAAACTATGTAGAAATAGACTCTGGCAACGTAATAAACATATCTGAAAACCAAATCGTTGAGATACAGTTCAACAATGAAGGAGATTTGGTGAACGCAGGCTACATAGTCGATGAAGATCTCTTACAAAGTCAGTGCAATGAACCGGTGGTCAACGGGGAGCTCGTGGAAGAGATTATTCCTTACGAGATGTATGACCAAGCTAGCCAGGATGCGTTTCATAGTTCGCAACAGGTAGGTGCAAAGGGCAAAAGATTCTGACTGAATAAGATCTATCAGCCTTTCATTTCTGCGACCATACTAACCGAATACAACATTGTTTCGCTTAATTCAGCAATTATCAGTACGATGCAGGTCTATTTATTTGGAGACAGATGTTTCGCCAATCGCAGTACGTTTTTTTAGGAGAGATTTTATAGCCACTCTCAGGCAGAAAATGTCGACACTATTGCCCTATTGGCATTTCCTGCCTAAAGTGTAAGACTCTCCAGAAGCAGCACATTGACTATAACCTCTGAGTCGTTCGCTAAACATCCCACCGCGGTAACGCTAGCAGCATTTCGTCATGGTGGGTAGCGTTGCGTCAAGTTTTTATACAGGAACATTTAGAGTCAAATTTATAGACCTTCCTTGAGGCTTCCTTGGAAACAACGGATATCTCCCTACAAACAGTGAAACAATGACGCTTCCATGAGGAACATTCAAGGGAGAATTCAAATTGTAATTTCACAGTAGGCTGTAACAGATGTCAGCACAGGCTGCCATCCATGTTAGAAGGATTTTTGTTTCCTGGCCATATCTATTTAGCATTTTGATGATAAACTTGGGACGATTTGGTTTATTTGTGCTAAATGTCAATAACAAGTGCGAATTACAGCGTAAGCACAGATAAGTAAAACACTGAATATAGGCAACCAGTTGCACCGAACGTCTGTCAGATTCAACTACTGCAGTATTGCACAAAAAAAGCATTTCATGCCCAAATTTTATGTCATTGTAGATTATAATGTGTAACTATAAAGAAAAGAAGTTTAGCGAGGAGACGATGCATTTGATCGAGATACGAGTACCAGACAAATTTGAAAAGATCAATGAAAATTAAAACAGATTGCACCAGCAGTAGGGCAGTTCGGTGCAACTGGATTCAGTTTTTTAATTCTCTGTGATTGCGCTGTAATTCGAGGAAGCAAATGCAAATACATTATTATTCTGCGATGTTTAGCTCAAATAAACCAAATCGTCCCAAGTTTATCATCAAAATGCTAAATAGATACGGCCATCAAAGAATTCATGACAGCTTGTGCTGACAACTGTTACAGCCCATTTTGAAATGAAAATTTAAATTCTTCCTTGAACGCCACTCCAGGACGCTGATTGCGTCATTGTTTCCAATAAGATATCCACTGTTTCCAAGAAAGCATCAAGCCTCAAGGAAGGTCTATAAATCTGCCTCTTAGTCATCTTTTTCTCATCGTCGTACATATACATAAGTACCTCTGTGCATGTACAACCCAGCCAGTGTAAACCTATCATTGGTTCCGCGGTATGTTCTTATCATCCGTCAAAGCTATTTGAAAAGCGGGGGTAGCAAATTTTGCCAGGGGCAAATCCTAAAAAACCTTGAAATTGTACATGATGTCGGGCTAAATATAAAAAAGTTTTGAGGTTTAACTGAATTCCCAGGGGGGCCACGGCTCCCCCTGGCCAACCCCTGTAGGCGTGCACGCGCAGTTCGCGTACTCGTTGTTTCCTACTCGCTTCTGGTAGCTATGAAAACAACCATGTCCTGTGAGGAATTTTTAATAGCTGGGATAGTCTTCTAGCCCATGCACCATGGCCAGTTGTACCCCGTCTCTCATGCTATTTGGTAAAACGTGCATTTCTTTCGTCGCTTCTAGTTTCGGCGCACGTTTTATAGAGCCTCAGCCTGCAAATTAATTGGCGGAATACCAGCCACCGCCAGCAGTGCGTGGGTTGACACCGTTTTGTACTTCGGATGGATTTAACCGTATCGGAGATGCAATGACTTTATTTACATTGCCAATCTGAAGTTGACTTTTTATTGTTTGTATCCATTCATTCAATTAGCAGCGCTTCGTGTGGCAAGGAGCGGGCGATATGACTAGGAGCGGCTATATCCTCAGATGTATTCTCAATCCTATTCCATTTCTCTGAGGCGCAGCCATCGCCCCAGTCTCGAGATGTTCGGACGGACCGGCACTCGTCCGGGTCAGTGCAGGATTCCATGGCACACTTCTTGATCAGGGCTGGTCCCTGCTTCAACGTCACAACCACATATCGGCAGGGCAAGCTCACAGCAGCTCCGTCCGAGCATCTGCAGTAGGCTGCCACGCTAAAACGATCCTCGTTACCCTATTCATAGCCAGGTCATCATGGGTCTACGCTGACTTGTTCGGGTCAGCATCCCTAGACCGCCTTTGCCGCGGCGCTAGGAGCCTGGTTTGCCCCCGATAGCCGTCTGCTCCGTAACAGGTGCTGTCAAAAGCCTCTCGCAGGATGATTCCTGCGACCGGGTTACCCGACTTTGGTCAATCAGCCTGGAGAGACCCAACATAGTCGCCTCTTACGACCGGCAGGGGATTCCCTGGGACTATTCTAGTTTATGGCCCCGGTGCTCAGTCGGGCCAATCACGGTTCTACCGACCCCTATACGTACCACAATTTCTTGGCATCTCTGAGCAGTGCGCGCTTCTAAGAAGCCAAACGAGGACATCCACGATATAGGCGTCTTATTGTCAATCAGGGGAGTATTAAGTACTCACCATCCTCAGAAGTGGTAGCATGCTAGGTAACCTTGTAACTTATGCAAGTGTACGAATTTTGGTAAAACAACACAACATAATGTATTCTTTCCAGATGGAAGATTCTCCAAACTCTTCTGACTCTTCCCAAACACCCCAGACCCTACCAGAAAATGTCAAGCATGATACCATGCATTCCTCAATGCTGAGTCCTGAAAGTGAGCCGCCAGATGACCAATCAGAGACGGACTTGACCAGTCTGAACTGGCTTCACAACATCACGAATATTATGTCGGTGCCCAATATGCCTAATTTGCCTACGCCTCCTGTGTCGCCTGGTCCTAAGCCTAAAAAGAAGCAGTCGAACCAGGTAAGATTTAAATACTTTTCTATCTAGTTTATTGTTCATAGTCGGGAGCGCAAAGTTGATTTTTGCTGAGGACCAAAACTAACGGCTTTTCTGCTCTAGGGCCTCACAGCAAAAATGCTCGTTAAATATAATAGGCGGCAGGCATATTCCGTCTGTCTCTGATTTATATGGCGTATTTGAAAGAGCTGTAGGGTTCACTCTGCACTTCCTACGCAACGTCGTCTTCAGTTCACAAAAGATTATCTGTAGCACATGTTAGACGCTCTGAGAAAAGTTACTTACGAAGATGTATGGCAGAATAATTAAATTGATGAAGTCATTCAAATAGGCCCATACAATTAGTCCATAGACATTCTTTTCTTGCCCTTCCAGTGGTACGGTCCATCTGGCAACGCCCGACAGTAATGGCAGGGCGCTCATCGGAACCGGATGCCCTTCGGTGAACCCAAAGAGCAGGGGCAGACACCTATCGAAAACATTTCTCTATGGCTTTCAGTTTTAAGGAAAAATGTACGGGGAAATCTATGATCTGTGAAATATACACGTACATTAGAACGTAAAATTTTCGGTTGCTGGTGTCAAAGGGGAAAGAGGAGGTTACCAGTTCAAAAAAGTTGACCTCGAAGTTGCTTTAAAGGTGTACATATGAACTGGTTTTCATCATTATTTTTTTATCTATCAGAAAATAATCATGCTCGAGCAAACAGACAGAAAAAATGTAAATGGACATAATATCTCTGTCGTCTACGAGTATTATACCAGCTTCGTATGGCTAAGCATTGAAATGTCACTATACGAAATTATTTTGGGCATTTTCAGGAAGATCTGACAATCAACATAACATACTATAAGAAAAATGGTGACAAAAAACCACCATTTTCCTATGCAACTTTAATTTGCATGGCCATGGGTAAAAATGGAAACAAAATGACTTTGAGCGCCATCTACCATTGGATAAGGGAAAACTTTCTGTATTACAGAAAAGCACATCCTAGTTGGCAAGTAAGTAGCGCAAAAAAGTAACTTGAACAATGTTCGCGAGCAAATAATTTTGCCGTATGTAGTACAGAGGTAGCAGTTACAATTTTGAATAAATACTAGTAGTTACTCTGGAATCGTCGAATTCAACTTTACAATGTTCCTCTTTATAACCCCACTGTGTGTCTTTATTTGTTCGTTGTTTGATGACGGCACAACTACTGGTGACATAATAGTATGGTTAATTCATTTATATTTTTTATTTTGGGCGAACGTCGGTAAACTTTAGTATCTTGGACGTATTAAGAGCTGATGTCACTAAATACATAACTATTATTTCACAATTTCTTATAGAATTCAATCAGGCATAACCTATCTCTTAACAAATGCTTCGTGAAACACCCGAGGTCAAAAGATGAACCTGGCAAAGGAGGTTTTTGGAAACTGGATCTGGAACGTTTGGAAGAATCAAGAAGGTCGAAAAGGAGGTCGAGTTTGACAGTGAGGGCGCCAAGGAATCGGAAGCCTGACGAGGAGAAGCCCCAGAAGCCTGTTAGAAAGCCCAAAAGGTAAGGCTTACTCTTTGAATGATGAGAATATGCATTAGAAATTCAAAAAAGAAACACCGACACCATACTGGGAGATAATGGCAATTGGTGATAATAATCATTTAAAACATGTGATAAACTGTCAATTTTGAGGTCAACTATAAAAATATTAGTTTGTAGAAATAATAAGGTTTGGCAATTGCAGTGTGAGGCATATTATACATTTTTGGAAACAGAATTAGAAACTATTTACCTCTCTATGAGGAAAAGTAGCATTGAAAACTTAAAAATCTCGAATACTTGAATGTTTTGAAATAGCTGAAATATTTGAAAGTGTTGAATAATTTGAAAATTGTGAAATTCTCGGAATTTCTGAAAATTTGAATTTTTTAAATTCCTGAAATTTTTGGAGCTTTTGAAATTTTCTAATTAGGTATCCAAAATTTTTGGAATCTGAAATTTTTGAAATGTTTAAAATGTTTAAAATTTTTGACATATCCAATATTTTTGAATTTTATTATATTATTGGAATTTTTTAAACCTTTTGAAGTCTTTGAAATTTACTAAATTGTTGAAATTTTCGAAATCAATCATTTTTGGAATATATGAAATTTCTGAAAATGTAAAATTTTTTGAATATTCGAAATTTTTTTAAATACCTGAAATTTTTGAAATCCTTGAAATTTCTTAAATCTTTGAAATATTTGAATTTGTAGAAATTTTTTAAATCTGAAACTTCTGCAGCTTTTGTAAACTTTCAAATTTTTGAAATATCTGTAATTTTTTGATTTCTTGAATGTTTTGAAATAGCTGAAATATTTGAAAGTTTTGAATAATCTGAAAATTGTGAAATTCTCGGAATTTCTGAAAATTGAAATTTTTAAAATTCCTGAAATTTTTGGAGCTTTTGAAATTTTCGAATAAGGTATCCAAAATTTTTGATATCTGAAATTTTTTAAATGTTAAAATTTTTTTACATTTTCGAATTTCATGACATTATTGTAATTTTTGAAAACTTTTGAAATTCTTGAAATCCTTGAAATTTCTGAAATATTTGAAATTTTTGAAATATTTGAATTTGTGGAAATTTTCGAAACTTCTGGAACTTTTGGAAACTTTCGAATTTTTGTTACCTGTGATATTATTGGAATTTTTGGGTCTATTGAAATTTTACAAGTTATTGAAATTTTTTAAATATCTGAAATCTTTGGATTTTTTCAATTTTTGAAGTTACTAAAATTTTTGGAAATTTTCGAAATTTCCGTTTAAGATCCAAGTAGGGACGATTCCTCAAACAGCTCTCAATCCTCAAAGAACATCTAAATTGCTCGATCAATAATGGCATACTTCTGAAACTAGGTATGTCATGTACTATTTTAAATCCAGGTATCGACCTCAAAACACCGGCGAAAGAAAACACAACATCCTCTCTAACATCTCTATTTGCGGAGAAACCGACATCGAAAACTTTGAAGAGTCCAAAAAGACCAAAACCCTAAAGAAAGTGACTGACATCGACAGCGACTTTTTCAAAATGGAAGACAAAAAACCAACGGAAGAAGTGATACCAGCGTCGATGCCCAATCAAAGCGTGATTACCGAACCTGTCAATCAGATTTTGGGCGAGGATGAATTGACAGGATTGTTGTTGACCTCCAACGGGTGGGATGAGTGTCAATTGGAGCTGTTAGACTCCTTGCTGGATTCGTTGTAAAAATCTAAAAGTTTGGGGCTCGGTCATCCCGAGAAAGGGAAGGTTCAAAAAATTGGAAAGTGGATTTACATTTATTTGTACTTGACGAGTTTGGTCAAATTGGACTGTATCGAAATATGATGACACTATCCTTGAAATGCTATATAAGGTTTGTTATTTATTGGATGTCGAATCAAAAATACTTACATATTTTTGCTTTAGTTTTTAGCCTATACTATTTATGCATCTTTTGAACTTGCTAGTCTTAAACCAAAGATTTTGAAGCGTAATATTTATTTCATTTTAATATGTTGTACATAAACCTTCTCTTCAGTTTGCCTGAACAAAATATGTTACATTGGAAACTTGGATTGTATAAAAGTTTCGTCTCAATATTTTTAATTATTTGCTCAAAGAAAGCTCAAACAAAAAAGTATTATACAAATGATTTTGCGATATGCACAATAGTTTGCTCAAAAATAAAATGAGTTGGTCAAATTGGTAATATAACAAATCAACTGAAAAAATAAGACATATTTTATTGACGTTAAATTATTCAGTGTGAAAATGAGTGCAACTGTTCAATGGATATTTTGTAAAAATTTGGAACAACACGTTTGCTGTGCCTTTGAGTCACGTGTGGGCCTTTTGCGATTATTTTTGTAAATATTTTTCATGCTTATACATATAACATATCTTGACTTTCTTCCCGATAAAGGATTTTGTAAGTATATTTATACAAAAGGTCTTTCTAGATATATCGATATTAATATGAATCTTAATTCAAAAAATACATATTTTCCGGACTAAATTTGGGATTGTTTTGCTTGAATTCTGTCATAAGGGAATCTTAGAACTTTCCGATAAGTAATGTGAAATAATGATTTTTGAAAGTGGAAGTTTGAAAAATATTGAAAATTGGAAATATTGTCCAAAGCTCGACACATTGGTACCTTGTCCCTTAAATACGATAACAATAAAAAAATTTCGTACTTTTTAGATAATACGCATGAGAAATTGTGATGTATCATAATCAAATAATGAAACTTTGTGTCTTATATTTTTTCTCACAATATGTTGAGGCTCTGAAACTCTTCCGTCCAAATTTTGAGATAAGCGTTATGATAACTTATGTATATGTAGTTTAGTGAGTTTTTCAGCGGTGTCAAACTCAAAATTCATAACAACAGATTGATAGAAAATTTTCTTATAATGTAGTTAAACGTGTAGAGACCTCTGAGTTCAAACAGTGTTTGGATCAGAGTTATTGACATAAAACTTTTTGTGATTGTCCAAGCTATAGTCTAATCATATTAGCAAATTTCCCCGAAATAATTGTGAAGTCGGGTTTTATTGATGCAAATTGTTCAATGGAGTAACATGGACGCATAAAATGGGTACCCCAATATTTGGTGGGAAAACTTTTTATCCGACAACAAATAATGAGAAAACGTGTTTTTTGGGATTCAATTAAAAATGTTGGCAGGAACGAAAAAACTCTTCATTTAAGAATTTTAGGTATTCATGAGACCTAAAAAATGAGACCACACGTAAAAAGACCCACACGGGTATCACGTAACTTGAAAAGTGACATTATGCAGATTTTTTTTTTGACATTATGCTGGTTGTTTTTGACATTATGTAGGTTATTCTACAAGATGTTAACTTAGCACTTAGTTATACGTGTTGCCTAAACGTCACGAGGCTTGTTATCAATCTTTGGCTCTGATGTGATGTAAAATCTGCTTCTGAGATGGCATTACTGGATGTCTAAGCTGTAAGTTGTATGTGTTGATGATAATTACATTGGGTTCTTGTCTCAAATACACTTAATTGAGATTCAAAGCTAGAAATTAGTTGCGCATCCACTTTTTCTTATCCATTTTTTAAATTACATATACGAAAGTGCTGAATTTCAAAAATGAGAGAGATAAATAATTATATTCACTGTACACTGTCGAAATACAAGCCATATACATGCTAACATGATTTCCCGTAATTCTCCTCAGTTTTTCGTAATTTATAACTTTGAACATAACCTCTCTTCAGAAAGCACAACATATAAATAACCCGTCAAATTCGGCATGTTCAATATGATTTTCTCACACAGCAAATATCACTGATTTTATACATATGCAGATAAAGTCGATTGGTAAAGTAGTTTTTGTAAATGTCTAAGTGTTTATCCCAAAACACCTGTCTTCCGGCCATCACTACTAGTTTATCGAGCAATATACAGGATTCGTTCAAAGGGCATTTTATAGCAAAATACACTAGTTTAGCTTGCCGACGTGAATCACAAACCATTCAGAAAGAAAATTATTTTTATGCAAACAACGAAGGGTTACGTTTTTTTCTTCTGAACAAATTCAAACATTTCGTATATGTGAGTAACTGAACAGATTCGCTACGATATTCGAAGAACATACCTTATTATGCACATTTTAAAACAAAGCGGATGTGTCTATTACATTTTGTTACGAAGAAAACAATTTTATTCAATATTTCTTAATACTCTTGTGTATACATATTTAGAGCTGAAATTGGTACATGGTCACAGATGAGCCCTAAAGTTTATAAAAAAAATATTTCATATTTTAAACTGTCTTTGGACTAGTTAAAGTGTATCATGTGCTAAATGGCTGCATTATTGATGACTGCATGACTTTGTCAAATAAGTAGGTCACGTAATCTAGTTTCTTTATGAAGAAATATAATTCCCCAGACTCTTTTTCTGAAAGTATTAATATAGTATACGTCTGTTTTCGAAATCTCGTACGATTAAAACGACTGCAAGTTCAAAGTGTCGGAAAATAAACTCGAGAAAACGAAAAAACAGTAGAGAAATATCAATCAATTATTGCGAACTGACCGTCTTAAAAATGAGGCACACTGCTCGTTATTAATCACTAATACATTATTTAAAGATTCAGCATTGTATCTTGTATCGTTTTCAAGAGTACTGTAATTGTTTATAACAGATTTGATATGCCTGCAACGTGCGCTTGACATTTGTCAGTATCAAGTCTAGAGGTATAAGGATCCAGTAAAGGCGTCGTAGCGTAATGGGAAGGGTTTACGATTGCAGAACTGCAGGACAGAGGTTCGAATCCACGAAGCCCCTTTTTACTCTATCATTTTTTTTTCTAAATTTGTGGAAATAAACGCTTGTTCACATTATGTGTACTTTTATTGCGATCACGCCATAGAGAATGCAAGCTTGCAAACAGGAAACTAGGGGAATACGTATGATAGTTTATAATTTTTTTATATTATTTTGATAAAATTTCGGAAACATTATGTCGGATCGTAGCACATAATTTTTGAAGATATATATATATATATATATCTCTTAGAAGTACTTAGTGCTCCAGGGATCCATCATCTTTAATTTCTTTGTTTTGGAAGACAACCGACTGCATAGCTTAGGTGTGAAAACATGCGGACTTTTATAAGAAAAGCTAGCGGGTAGTACCGCCTCGGTCGACTGGTCCTTGTCTACCACCTTCTTTTTACGCGTTAGTGATATTAAATAGACCTAAAGTGGCCCGTTGGCGGACTTGTACCGCCACTCGGCAATCGGTACTGAGGTATTCCTTAACGCGTGTACAATCACTTGAACGGGAACAAGCATTTACCACGGCCCCGCTCAGTAGGATAGAGACTAGTCTAAGACCGTTTGAAACATAATTGTGTCTTCAGTTTGCGTGCCTAATAAACAGCTCAGCGCATTTCAATGTGGATTATTTTTTTTCATAAATTTTAGGGCTCATCTGTGACCGTGTAAAAATTTCAGCTCTAAGTATGTATACACAAGAGTATGACGAAATCTTAAAGAAAAAATGGTTTCTTCGTAACAAAAGGTGGTAGACACATCCGCTTTATTTTAACATGTGTATATACGTAATAACGTGTGTGTTTCCAATATCGTAGCGAATCTGTTCAGTTACTTACATATAATATACGCAGGGTTTGAATTTGTTTAGAAGAAACAAACGTAACCTTTCGTTTTTCGCATAAAAATAACAATTATCTTTTGGAATGGTTTTCGATTTATGATGGCAAGGTAAATTTGTGTATTTTGCTATAAAATACCCTTTGAACGGACCCTGTATATTGCTCAGTAAACTAGTAGTGATGACCGGAAGACAGGGATAAACAATTAGAAATTCTCAAAAACTACTTGTCCAATCGACTCCAATTTTGTTGTGGTTATTTAGAAGTGTGAATCCTACGGATTCGAAGAATTTCAAGCAACTGCGTGAAATTATCGTCGCATTAACAACAAGTGCCAAAACTTGCATTTTGCCTCGGTTTTCGGCCGCAGCTTTTTTACTATTAGTGGTATATTTTTACGTGTGGTCTCATTTCTTAGGTCTCATAAATACCTAAAAATCTTATTTAAAGAGTTTTTTTCGTTCCTGCCAACACTTTTGATTGAATTCCAAAATACGGGTTATCTCATTCTATGTTTTTTATAATAAAAATAAAAGCACCGTTTGTATATGGTTTCTCAACAGCGACAATGTTTAGTTAACAACTACTTGAAATTTAGGAAAAATGGTTGCCGGCGAGTTACATCTCACAAGATTCCCCGGATACTTATAAAAAACCCGCTTCCGAATGCCCTCAAATCCGGGGAATTTTGTACGGATGGCAGCCCTAAGCTAAGCGAGTATCGGTAAATAAAGATATCCAACTATACAGGGTGATTCACAAGTCGTGATCAAAAATGAAACATCATACACAGGACCGCATTTTAAGGGGGGTCTTCTATGAAGTTTAAAAATGAAAACAATTTTTTAATATATTCAAAACCGTCATCTGGGGTGAACTAAAATTTTTTATGTGGATTCACCCAAGTATTGTCCAGACTCAAAAGTCTACTTAAAATTAACGTGCACAAGTGGCGGAGATACAGGGGATTAGTGGCATTATTTTTGCAAATAAAAATAGCTTTTTTTGTAAACGCGCAATTTTTCGAATTTTACTTTCAATTCGCTACATTTCGTCAAAATAAAAATAAAACAAATTAGATCATTCATGAAGAGCCGAGATACAATTAGTTTCAAAATAAAATAGGAGGCCTTGATACCAACTTGGCGTTTCTTGGGAGATAGGTTGGCAAAGTTATGTGTTATACGGTTGTTATCGTTACTACTACCATTTTTTTTGTAAAGTTCGAGTCAAAAGTTTCTTTTTTCCATTTTTGAGTATTGTGAAACGGAATTTAGCAATGAAAAGTACGCCGATATTATTTTTGTGTACGGGTTCTGTAATGG